TAAACCGAGGTTCCAAGCTGTTGGAAACGGCTAATCGTGACCAGCGCGCACAAGGTCCCGCGCTCGCGCCCCCAGGCACGTGACCAAGTGCGCGCCGGACTCCGCCCCTCCCAAATCCAGTGGAGCTTTTTTGTCGTGACCACTCCCCCGTTTCCGCACTAGCCATCGTTTTCTTACCTCGAATTACGTCCTGATTTCTTTCTTCACTTAGCAGAATAGATTCTGGATTAAATAGAAGTTGGACCACACCTTTAATGATTGATCTGTACTAAATCCTTTCAAAATAATACACGATTCCAAGCGCTTTTATCCATCTGTAGTAATATGGGAAACTAGGCAGGTCATTGTTGTAGAGTATATCGTTTCCCGGAAAACATGCTAGTTGAACCTGTCCTTAAGTTCCAGTCCAAGCACTGCCTTCTCCAGATCTGTTTCATTCCATTAGTAAGCTTTTGTCGCAGTATCTAACCAACACTTAGTAGAGGGCAACCTCCTTCTGAGGACAGGCACTTAACTGATGGTTGCTCCTTCTCAGAGGCAATTTATAGGAATGTAAATGTCAATAAACACTTTATGGAACTGAGCAGTTAAGGGTGACGCCAGCCATAACTAAATTGTATTACCCTTTCTTCCCATTTTTTTTCTTAATTTATTTTAATCGCGTGGTAAAATATACATTGCCAATTCACCCTCCCCATGGAGTGGTAAACAGCATTAAGTATAAGTTCATTATTGTAAAATTCTCCAACCTCCAGAACTTTTTCATACCCATTTAACAACTCCCCATTCTCCTTTTCCCCCAGTCACACGCAAACTGTAATTATCTACCTCCAGCCTGTAAATTGACCACTCTAGATACCCAGATATTACAAGTGGAGTCATATACGGTATTTTTCAGGATGGTCTTGATTCACTTAGCAGTGTCCTTGCTGCTTCACGTTGTAGCATGTTGAATTTCTTCCTTTTTTAAGGGTAACATCTTCATTGTGTGGTATTTGCCACATTTTGTTTCTCCATTCATTTGAAGATGGATGAGTTGCTTTCCAATTTTTTTTAGTTATTGTATTTTTTCTGTTTAAATAAAGGCAACATTTTCTTTTAAGCGATCCCACTAAGCTCCACCTTTTATTATTATTATTATTATGAATGTTTATTTCTTTTTGAGATAGACACACAGACAGAACTTGGAGGGTCAGGGGGTAGAGAGAGGGAGACACAGAATCCAGAGCAGGCTCCAGGTTCCGCCGAAGCTGTCACAAGACACAGAGCTCGACGCCGGGTTCAACTCAGGACGTGAGAGATCATGATTCGAGCCTAAGACGCCAACTGACTGAGCCACCCGCCTCCAACATTAAAGTATAAGTCTAGTCTTGCCTTCACCCCTCTGGCAACTTCTTTTTTTTTTTTTTTTTGCAGTCTTTTTTTTCTCCAACGTTTATTTATTTTTGGGACAGAGAGTCAGAGCATGCAGGAACGGAGGGGCAGAGAGAGAGGGAGAATGGAAATAGGTTCTTTGTACTTGTTTATCAGCCTCAGAGTCGTGGCTCAACTCAGGATCAAGCGAGATCGCGTGACCTGGCTGAAGTCGGACGCTTAACCGACTGCGCCACCCAGGCGCCCCTGGCAACTTCTTTAAAAAGCAGGTGTTGGGAAGCACAGGGATGTGGCTCTTCAGACACCAGTTTTGTCTAAATCTGTTTCATGCTCTGTGAAATGAGAAAATTCCTTAATCTTGGTATTACAGTTGTGGGCTAGCATTGGCCAATAGCTCCCTCTATCAGTCAATCTGTCAAACACATTTTATCACCCACTTTAGATAAAAAGTGGTATCGAAGGCCAGGAACTAAGATTCAGTGACCCACCAAATGAAGAAATACTCTCTGCCTTCAAGGCACTTAAAAGTCTACTTCTGGAAATAAGTCAGTATGGTTGAAGGACCCCTGGAAGTCCCTGAGACTCTCCCAGGAGATGTGCAAGGGCCTCTCTATTCTCCAATCTGTGTGAAGCTCAATTTTCTTCCTGTGCTTTACCCAAAACATGTTGCAACACATTGAATGCAGAAGCATTGTTAAGAATCCATTTGTCTTGCATTAAGCCAGACATTAAGGAATTTTGCAAAAATGCAACACAATGTCACTCTTCCCACATTTTCAGATTTTGCTTTGGAAAAGATTTTCCATAAAAATGTTATTTAACATTTTATAAGTTTATTATTGTTATTTTAAAATGAATCTAAAATATGTTAAATTTCTGTTCTGATTTATAATGTAGTAAATAATATGACATAACTCATATATAAGTAAGATTTGGGGTCCACAATAATTTTTTTTTTTGAGATGGGGGTGGATGGGAGAGAGAGAGGGAGACAGAGGATCCGAAGCAGGCTCTGCACTGACAGCAAAGAGTCCAATGCCGGGCGTGAACTCACAAATCTTGAGATTGTGATCTGAGCTAAAGTCAGATGCTTAACTGACTGAGCCACCCAGATACCCCCCACAATAATTTTTAGATGTGTAACAGGTATTTAAATGCATAAACAGGCTAAGTGTCCAACTCTTGATTTCAGCTCAGGTCGAGATCTCATGGTTCACGAGATCAAGCCCCACATTAGACATCAAGGAGCCTGCTTGGGATTCTCTCTCCCTCTCTTTTTTCTGCCCCTCACCCCCCTCGTGCTCCCTCCCCATCCCTCAAAATAAATAATTTTTTTTTAATGTGTAAGCAGGTATATTGAGACCAAAAAGTCTGAGATCAACTGCTAAAGGAAAAACCTCCAAGACAATCCCAAAAGGATAAAGTAAACAAGAGCTGACTAAAACGCTCTAGTGCAACCTCGAGGATCCCTTTTCCTAAGCTCGACCCTGTAGATAAAAACAGGCACGCAAAGTCACAAAGCCATGCAGTCATAAAGTTCCTTTCCTGATCTGGAAGCTTGGAGGTTACTGGAGGAGCCGAAAGCCCCAACATGCTTCACAGTTCATTTGCTCAGCACATATGCGTGGGCAGCCACCACTGATGACAGGTTTCTTGAGTGGCAGCCATATGCCACTGAACTAGGTGCTTTGAATTACCTCTGTCATTCAATAGTCATAGCACCTTATGGACCTTATTAAACCCATTTTACATATTAGCAAAGAGAGGCTTAGATCTGTAACGTGCCCAAAGTCTGTTTTAAGTAACAGAACTGGGATCTGAATAGAAGTCTTTACAGCTTCTGTTCATCCCACTAAGCCATACTGCTTCTCCAATTTCAGACAGTAAGTCAACCCAAAAACCCTGAATTCTACACAGCTTAACAAGACAGAGACATCTAATTCCTAAGATGAGAACTGTGAAAACCCAATTTTAGAATTAGTGGCTCTCCAGCTAGGGGTAGGCGAAGATGTGGTTGACTTAGTTATTTCTTTTTAGAGTTTTATTTTAAATGTTTTTTATTTATTTTTGAGAGAGAGAACATGAGGGGAAGGGCCAGAGAAAGAGAGGGGGACAGAGGATCCAAAGCAGGCTTTGCACAGACAGCAGCAAGCCGGATGTGGGGCTTGAACTCAAGAATCATGAGATCATGACCTGAGCCGAAGTTGGACACTCAACTGACTGAGCCATCCAGGTGCCCCCCAAAATTTTAAGGAATCTCTACACCCATCGTGGGAATCAAACTCAAACCCTGAGATCAAGTCAACAGCTCCACTGACCAAGCCAACCAGGTGCACTTAGTTATTTCTGAAGACCAAAGAATATATGTTTATGAATGATCATTTATTTTTGAGAGAGAGAAAAAGAAAGCATGTGAGCAGGGAAGGGGCAGAGAGAGAGGGAGACAGAGGATCTGAAGCAGGTTCCGAGCTGATAGCAGAGAGCCAGATGCAGAGCTGTAAGTCACAAACCATGAAATCATGACCTGAGCCAAAGTCAGATGCTTAACGGAGCCACCCAGGTGCCTCAGCCAAATATTTTACTTAATATTTGTGCATGTTTATATTGTAATTATGTGTTCAAACAGTAAATCAACCTTATAGTATAGAGCTATTTACATTTGGATGATCTTTCTCAAGAAGACTTCTTCATAGATCAGACTTCTTTTTTTTTAATGTTTATTTTTGAGAGAGAGAGAGAGGCAGAGCTTGAGCAGGGGAAGGGCAGAAAGAGAGGAGACACAGAATCCAAAGCAGGTTCCAGGCTCAGAGGTGTCAGCACAGAGCCCAACGCAGGGCTCAAACTCACGAGTCGTGGGATCATGACCTGAGCTGAAGCCGGATGCCTAAACGACTGAACCATCCAGGTGCCCCACAGACTTTTAATAAGCACCCAATCATATATGCACAAAATATTTCTGGAAAAATACAAAAGAAACTGGAAACAGTGACTGCTTCTGGAGAGAACTGAGTAACTGAGAACGAAGGTGACAAGGAAACTTAACTTTTTCACTGCATGCCTTGTGTTATCATCTAATGTTACACCATATGTAAGAATTACTTCTTAAAAAAAAAAAAACTAATATAGCAGAACAATGAAAAAAGACACACGCTGTCAGATGGGAACTGCTCAGTCTGTAGTATCAAGAGAGGATGGTAGAGTCTCGGTGAGTAGAATTGTCTGGTTCCCAGAATTTTCAATTCCTTGCCTGCCCAACTCACACTAAGAGCTCTGTAGCTGAACATGCCAGAATGCAGTATGAAAACAGACATTCGGAAGCAGTTATCTGAAGTTTAAAAGTTTGGAGGCTTCCATTGGGGCACCTGGGGGGACCAATCAGTTAAGCATCCACTTCAGCTCAGGTCATCTCACGGTTCGGGAGTTCAAACCCCACATCAGGCTCTGTGTAGACAGTTCAGAGCCTAGAGCCTGCTCGTATCCTGTGTCTCCCTTTCTCTCTGCCCCTTCCCAGCTTGTACTTTTGCCTCTCTTTCTCTCAAAAATAAATAAAACATTTAACAAAAAAAGTTTGGAGGCTTCCCAAAATAGCACAGGGGACTCACTCAAGTGAATGGACATCTGCATAATGAGGTCGGTAGGAAACTGCTTAATTCAAAGTCATTCCAGGAAACACGCTAAAATCCTTGGGCCTGAACCTTGATAGGCAGGCCCACCCATGTGGCATTCTCCAGTCCCCATTTCCTGCAGCAGCCAAAACACATTACTGCCCGTACATCTCCCCTCCATTCAAGAACCAGCATTTGGAGCACCTGGCTGGCTCAGTTGGTAGAGCATGTGACTGTCAACCTCAGGATTGTTAAGTTTGAGCCCCACGTTGGTTATAGAAATTACTTAAAAATAAAATCTTAAAAACAAAAAACAAAAAACCCCAAACCAACCGGCATTTATGAGCTCCCCTGAGAAAACGTTTTCCCTCAGCTCCTGCAAACAAACCTACTGCCCATCTCCTTTAAAAGAAAAGCTAAAGTTTGCTGAGCTCTCTGTGCTCTACACGTGGTATCTCGGGTATTAAGTCTGACAACTCAATGAAGTGGGCACTCTTTTTATTTCCATCTTGTAAATGACAACACTGAGGCCCGGAGGTTGAGCAATTTGCCCAAGGGCACACAGCTGGGAACTGACAGCGCCGGGATTAGAACTCACATGTGATGCTGAGCTCCTGCTCTTCACCATGCACTATTACTCAATACAAGCATTCTGGCATGATCTGGTTGCCCGTGGGGGGCTGGCGGTGGTGGGAATGACAGCTCTCAAAGCTCTGGTCCGTCATTTGTAGTGAACGGGTTGCTGACAACAAGCCAAGACCGACTCCTAGGAAACATCATCATTTAAGTTTATTGATGAGAATTAAGGCTGGAGCCTAGGGCCCAGACCAGGTATCAGAATATGTCGTCCGTGCTATAATCTAGTATAGAATCTTACTTTTATGCAACTTCTGGGTACTAAATCATGTGTTGTTTGAGAATAAAGACAAAACTCAAATTCGGAAAAAACTACAGATCTCACTAGACTACTAATGGTAACATAGCTGCCATGTATGAGGCACCAACTCTATTTTATGTGCTGTGTGTATATACATACTTTACACGTATCCTAATCCACAATCCCCAGAGTTAACTGGTTGTACATATCACACAAGAGCCACCTCAGAAATACACATTCACATAAGACCCGAAGAGGTCTCTCTCCATTCTTACTGTATCACGGAACCTCCCGGCAAAGGGGTAGAAACTATTAGTAAGCATCCAAGTGACTCCTAAGGGCAGAAGAATCTGGTGGACCACTACTTTAATTTTCACGTCTGATAAAGCATTTTCACAAAGAGAAACATTTTTAGCTTCTCACCTATACGGGGAAACAAGCTCATACAAATGGCTGCCCAAAAACCAGAGCAGGATTTGAATACAAATCTCTCTGGCTTCAGAGCCAAGACAAGTATCATTCTGCCTACTCTTAAATCAATGTCTGAGTCAGAGAATGCATACTGAATTTTGTGGTTTGTGCTTCCGCTTCCACGGACTTGTTTGGTAAAAAAATCATTACCTCTTTCGGTGCAAGGCAAATCTTAGATTGGAAATACAGTAAAACAACAATAACAACAAACAATATTAGCATTTGTACACTCACAGCTTTCAGGGTCCTCAGAAAGAGCCTATTTGATCCTGCCATTTTCCATGAGGCGGGAAGGCAGTGCAAGTATTAACTATGATGCTTTACTACTGGGAAAACGGAAGCACAGAGCTAAGTAACTTGCTCAAAAGCTTACAGACTGTCCCGTGGAGAAATGGTGACAATGCTTTTCCCACCAGGCAGCACTACTGCTATAAATGTATAGCTTCTTCTCTCTTGTACACTGATGTCTAGTGTCTTGTCAGACTCCAGGAAAGGGAGTGAAAAATGACAGGGTGAAAAAATGACCACCAGGGATGGATGGCTTGAAGTGGGATGTGAGTGGTCTCTGACGCAGTGAGGTCTGGGTTCAAATACTAACTCCATCTCTTACGTTCTCTGGGATCTGGACAATTAATCTGAGCTCATTTTTCATCATTCAAAATGGGAAATAATGGACTCAATCAACATTTACTAAGAAACTCAGTGTGTCCAGCCATGTGTCACTAGAGGCATTTTATCGTTTTATGCATTTTTATCATGCATTTTAATCAATAATTTTTCACAGAAGCAAGGGAGGATTTTAGAGATGGATCTGGTGCTAAATCTTGAAGGGTAACTAGAAGTTATGTAAGCAGAAAGAGTTAGGGGTGCCCAGAAAGAGAAGTCATTTTAGGGGTGCCTGGGTGGCTGTTGGTTAAGCATCCAGCTCTTGAATTCAGCTCAGGTCATGATCTCACCGTTTGTGAGTTTGAGCCTGTGTTGGGCTCTGTGCTGAAACCACAGCGCCTGCTTGGGATTCTCTCTCTCCTTTCTCTGCCCCTCCCTTGCTCTCTCTCTCAAAATAAATAAATGAAACGAAACAAAATGAAATGAGAAAAGAAAAGAAAAGAAAAGAAAAGGTCATTTTAGGTCCCAGCTATTTTCTATGATATATGACTAACCAGCTCTTCTTCTTCTTCTTTTTTTAAAAAAAATTTTTTTTTTCAACGTTTATTTATTTTTGGGACAGAGAGAGACAGAGCATGAACGGGGGAGGGGCAGAGAGAGAGGGAGACACAGAATCGGAAACAGGCTCCGGGCTCTGAGCCATCAGCCTAGAGCCCGATGCGGGGCTCGAACTCACGGACCGTGAGATTGTGACGTGGCTGAAGTCGGGACGCTTAACCGACTGCGCCACCCAGGCACCCCTCTTCTTCTTTTTTTAATATTTATTTATTGTTGAGAGAGAAAGCCTGAGCAGGGGAGGGGCAGAGAAAGAGGGGGACAGAGGATCCAAGCAAGCTCTGCACTGACAGCAGAGAGCCCAATTCGAGACTTGAATTCACAAACCATGAGATCCTGACCTGAGCCAAAGTTGGACAATTAACCCACTGAGCCACCCAGGTGCCCCCAAGCATCTCTTCTTGTTCTAGCACACTTCTTGTAGAATTTACAAGGTGTCAGAATTACAAAGAAATGTAAAAAACTCAATAGCTAAGGACTTTAAGGGAAGAATGAGAATGCAAAAACTAACAACAGATTCAACTAGGCCAGGAAGTAGCCTAACCATATCAGAGATAATGAATCAGTGGCAAAACTCCCAGGGCTGTTTCAAAAGTAAGCAAGGCCTTTCACTGCTTCCCCAAGATAAGGAGCCCAAGACCCAATCCAGCTTATGGCTCTTCAGCAGGCCCATAACCCCTTCCCCAGGTCCAACAGTTACCTCTGCTTCATTAGAATGTTAAAATCTTCACCCACAGCAGAAACAAACTTCATTAACACAACAGACAATGCTAAATCAGCAGGTTTCCTTAAGACAAGTGTATGACCTTATACCCACCTCTACCTAGAATGACTGAAACTCCCCTTTCTGAATATCCATCCTAACCCTAAATGAAAGAAACCCATTTACCCCTACTCAGGGGGTCACAGATTTCAAAGTGATTTCCTTATTTGCTGCAAATAAGTTTCTGTTGTACAACAATTCCACCTTGGGACGCCTGGGTGGCTCAATCGATTGAGCGTCCGGACTCTTGATTTTGGCTCAGGTCATGATCCCAGGGCTGTGGGATCGAGCCCTGCATTGGGCTCTGCACTGAGCATGGAGCCTGCTTAAAATTTTCAATTTCTCTCTAAAAAAAACAAACAAACAAACAAACAAAAACAAAAACCAAAAAACAACAAAAAACAAAACCACAACTCCACCTGGTATAGTCTCTATCTGCAACTCACCAAGGAGTGAACTCATATTAGTTTGGTTGCAGTTAGACCTGGAGTGTAAAACACAAGATGCCAGTGGGGGCCAGGCAAATTGGGTACATGGGCAGAGCAGACTGGATAGAGCCACCAGCCCCCGGCTCCACACAAATGATGCTATGCAGGATCAGGGCCCCATGCAACCAGATGAAGCAAGGTCCAGATTTCTCTGTGGAATCTCTCAAGTTTTAAGTGTTAGAACTTGACTTCTAAGAAATCATGAGAACAACAGAAGGACAAACATAATCTGTGAGCCACATCTTGCCTACAGGCTGTCGTCAGTTTCCTGAGTTAGCCCCAGGAGAGAGGAAGGACACTTCAGTCACTTGGAAATACGCTTACAAAGTCAAGACCTTGGGAAGGGCAGCTTGGTCAGGGAGCTGCATGCCATTTGGCTTGGTTGGAGCACGAGGGACAGGAAGCTGGCCAAAGGGCAATCCATCGAGACCTGAGACATAAGCGTGCAAAGCAGCACCAGCCACTGAGTGAGCTCAGTGCTGTATGTGCCAGTTCACATAATGACCATCACTGAGTGGGACACACCCCTGAATTAGGGACGAGAGCCCTGTCCTGTCCACCCCATCAGCATGAGGGTCTAGGCAGGAGCACAGCCATCCTACCACTGCTATTTTGCTGCTCCGTATGTGATAAACACATGAAAGAATGGCATCGAGGAACTCATAGTAAGATGGATTTTATCTACAAAACAATGCAAATTCCGTCTGCAACTAGGAGACATTTTCAATTATTATTCATAAAATTATTAATCAAAACAGCAAAAGCAGATTTACAAAGCTACATTATCAACAACAAAACAGGAAGGAAACGTTTGACAGACATCTTGAAAAGTTTCAAAGGAATACACACCAGACTAAAAATCTACAGTTAAACCGTGGTTGCACAACAGGTTATATTCACTCCTGCATTTTCTCAATAAGTTCTTCCTTATATTTGCCTTTCTCTTTTCCAACTTGTCGAGATTTGGCTTTGCGTTCAAGAATTTTTTTCCGGTCTTTGTCCAGTTTTAGCCTGGTGATAACTACCTGTTAGAAGTGAGAAAATAAATCTTTATTTATTTATTTTTTAAGTGGAAAGGATTTATAACCATGTAATTATTCTGTACAGCAGAACTTTTCCCAACAATAGCAGTTTGGTTCCTTCCGCTGCCCAACTCCTGAGGATCTATGAGACCAGTTAGTTTAGTGATATCAACTATCATTTGGGCTGGGACAAACAAATTATACTACCAACATGTTTCTGGTTTGTTTATCATCCCTTGGCCAGCAAAACGCATTGCTTAAAAAACATCGCTTAAAAAGCGCATAGCTTAAAAAACCATTCCCACCAGCTAGTAGGCAATAGAGATCGTAAGGATAAGTAAGACCGCAACCATCCTGCCCTCATCTGAAACTCTGGAGGAGAAAGACCCTACGATACAGTGCATGGAATGGAGTGCAAATGAGGAACAGCATATTCTGCCAGGTGGATGTGAGGGCCACAGGAAGAGATGTTCCTTCCCTCTCCTCCCTCTGGATGTTATCTAGTAGGAGAGGGATGCCTGGAACCCTCCTGCAACCTGCTGGAAGGCAGAGCCTTCACCGAGGATGATAAAACAGGTAAGAAAACAATACGGATCCTTGATGACTAAGCCAGTGAATCAATCAAGCCTGCCCCACCTCCCTCTAGAAGTCCTTGCCTGGGCCACCTGAGTAGACACTACCAACACACTGAGAACTTACAACAGCACTAAGCTACACTGCCCAGCCACTACCGCCACTCAGTCCCGCCATACCTTGCTGGGGTGAATGCCCACATGAACAGTTGTACCATTAGCCTTCTCACGCTGCACTCGCTCGATGTAGATGACATACTTTTTTCTGTACACCTGGACTACCTTGCCTATTTGCTGACCTTTGTAGTGTCCTCGAACCACCTAAGAGAAAATACAGAAGAGAATTTTCCCCCATTCTCATGCATGGAACATCACCGTGAGGAAATTAATTATCAGGAACACACAGACTAACATACAACTTTTTGTACAAAGCAGATTAACCCTGGCAGTTGAGAGTTAGCTTTTTTGGGGGTATAAATCTGCTCTGTGTTGTTCCAAGTCAGGTGAAAATTCACTTCAATTTTTTTCTTATCTGAAAACAAAAAATTCCTTGAACTAGAATGGCTATCACAGAACTAGTCTGGAGAGTAAAAAGGTAAATCACTATACACCCACAACTAACACAATCTTATATACCAATTATATCTCAGTTAAATAAAAATAAGTAAAGTTTAAGAAAAAAGATAATCACTCTCAAGATCTAAATGGAGAAGAATGGTTAAAGATAGCATCCTGAGGGGCGCCTGGGTGGCGCAGTCGGTTAAGCGTCCGACTTCAGCCAGGTCACGATCTCGCGGTCCGTGAGTTCGAGCCCCGCGTCGGGCTCTGGGCTGATGGCTCAGAGCCTGGAGCCTGTTTCCGATTCTGTGTCTCCCTCTCTCTCTGCCCCTCCCCCGTTCATGCTCTGTCTCTCTCTGTCCCAAAAATAAATAAACGTTGAAAAAAAAAAAATAAAATAAAATAAAATCCCATGTTCTTTTTTTTTTTTTTTAATGTTTTATTTACTTTTGAGAGAGAGGGAGAGAATGTGTGCGCGTGAGCAAGGTCGGGGGAGAGGGGAGGCAGAGAGAGAGGGAGACAGAGGATCCAAAGCAGGCTCTATGCTGACAGCACAAAGCTGTATGTGGGCTTGAACTCACCAACTGTGAAAGATCATGACCTGAGCCAAAATCGGACACTTAACTGACTAAGCCACCCAGGTGCCCCTAAAATCCATGTTTTCAAAGAATAATTTATCACCGAGCAAAATGCTCAAGATATGACCTTTAGGAAAAAAAAAACAAAGCTTTATATGAAATATAGTCTGAATCTTGTATGTTTCATATATATGGCATATAACACAATGGGATAGAAATATATCCAATTGACACTCAACTGACTGAGTCAGGAGTGAATATAACCTGTTGTGCAACACGGTTTAACTGACCCAGACACCCTAATTACACATGGCTTTTTAAAAAATGTATATTCTACCAGGGGCGCCTGGGTGGCTCAGTAAATTAAGTGTCTGACTCTTAATTTCGGTTAGGGTCATGATCTCACAGTTCATGGGACTGGGCTCCACATCAGGCTCTGCTCTGATGGTATGGAGCCTGCCATCTATACCTGGCTCTATACCTGCCATCTATACCTGATGGTATGGATTCTCTCTCCCTCTCTCTCTGCCCCTCCCCTGCTTGTCTGCCCTTGAGTTGTCTCTCTCAAGATAAACACTTAAAAAAAGAAAAAATGTATTTTCTTTCAAATTTCAAGATTTCTATAATTAACACAAATATTTTATAGTCACGAAAAACAAAAATGTTAAAATCTCTTGGGCTGTTTTCATGTACTAAAAATCTACTATTCATACTCCAATGCTATTCAAAACTAACTAGATTATGGTTTCCTTGAAGGCACAAGCCTATTCAATAGGAGCCATGATATAGCTGATGCTGATAATAAACAGAGAGGAAATACCACATGTATTAAAAAACTAGAGAATCTCAATACTCCTGAAATGTCATTCAGATTGTTCAACTTACTTACCAAGGTGATTTTCAGGCTGAAGATCATGCCTCACTGGAACTCCACCATACTCTCTATGATCAGAGACTTTTACATGGAAAAGAAATAGCCTCTCTTAACCATCATCAAGATTCAAGAAAAGATGTTAATAAAACAAGTCCAAAGGAACACCCGGTTAAACAGAACTGGACAAACACTAGATGAGGAGAGGGACAAGGTAAGACTAAACTAACTGGCCTGGAAAGGGAAAAGAGAAGAGGCAAGGATGGTTGTGCCTCTGGGTACAACTGGATGGATGTACAGAGTCTGGCTGGGCAGCTGGATGGATGGATATGCCTTTCCCAGAGCGGGACGAAATACGTGTTAGGAGAAAAAAGTTTAGTTGGGAACATGTTGAATTTGAGGCATCTCGTGACATTCTAGTAGAGAATTCTATACATAGCTGGAAGACCAACTGGGTCAGCAACAAAGACCTGGGAGTCATCCAGAGATGGCAATTCAGAAACCTGATTTGGTTCAGGGAGCTGGTCTTATGAGGGCAGAATGCAGAAATCCAAGGAAAAGCCAACATTTTGGAAGAGCTCATAAGGGAGACTGAAGTGGCCAGAGAATGGGCAACCAGGGGAGTGTGGGGTTATAGTAGCCAAGAAGACACTGTCAAATGCCATGGAATGGTCAACTGCAGGAAGGATAAAGGAAAAGATGTGACAATAAGCTGGTCACTGGTGATCATGGCTAGAGTGCTTTCAGTGGAGCAGAGACTGAAGGCATTTACAGTAAGACAATGAGTTCCCCATAGAGAAGGTAAAGGCGAAAAACAGTCCCAAGGAACCTGGCTGTGAAGAGGATGACAGAGAATATCTACTAGAGGGAGATGTGAAGGTAAGTGATAATTTTTTTTATTTTTAAAGAGAGGAAAACACGAATGTGTTTAAATGCTTATGAAAACGAACAAGTATGGAGGAAAAGTTAAAGGAAACTGTACAGAAAGGGGATAATGGAGAGAAGAATCTAAGAGAATGGAAGGCCACTGAATATAGTGGATCAGCTCTAGACAGAAAGAGGAACATTTCTGCCAATACAATAGGAAAACACAAAGACGCAGGGGTGGAACTGGAGGTAAGTTAGAGGGTTTGGAACAGGAGTTCTGAAAGGTCCTGGGTGATAGTTGTAATTTCCTCTGTGAAGCAGGACAGGTAGTCCTGAGCAGACAAAGAAAGTATGTGAAATTTGGAAGATCCCAAAAGAGAAGAGGCAGTTTTAACAAACCCACTTGCGACTATTTTACTCTTCTGGTGGAGTCAGACCTGGATTCCTGGCCTAGACGTGATTTTCTTCATTTATTGAACCAGAGTTTCAGGTTCTATCTACAAGGGAAACAATTCACACCTCACAGACACTGAAAAAATGGCCACATCTTCTCCTCTGCCCTCCTTTTCTTTCTTTCACGTCTTAATTCCATCCGCTCAATAATTTTTTTCATTCATCCAACAAATAGTGGCTGTGCCCCTGTGGGTGCCAGGCTCTGTACTGAGGTCAGGCAACAAAAAAGAGAAGCTCTCTGGCCTCATCTTAATGTAATAGGTAGCAAGCAGTTAACTAATAAACACGCAAATACATGATCACTAACTGCAACAGGGCACATGGGAAGTGACTGGGATCATAATTGCGGTGACAGCTATATGGCTTTACGTGTGCCCAAACTCACCTGTGCATTTTACTGTCTCTAAATTATGCCTCAGTTTTATTTATTTTTCTTTCATTTGTTGAACCACTGAGTAATTCACCAACATGGCACAGAAGTACAACAATAAGTGCTAAGGGGGATGCTGGAATGACTGAAGTAACAGGCACAAAAATTAGGACTACAGAAAGTTTCAGGCTTCAGAAGGGGGTCAGGGGGAGAGATCTCACGTGTTTTGAGAGAAGTATTCATTTGGCGCCCAAATGGGATGGGGGAGCTCTGAGACATACATTGTGAAGGGGTGACCATAAGAAGATCTGAAAAACTGCCCTGTTGGCCAGACATGTCAGTTAGTTGTCTGGGAAAGTAACCAAAAGGTTTTCATCATTTGGTAGCAACTGGAGGCTACTACAGATTTCTAAAGAGAGTGACGTGTAAAAAGTTGAGAAGCTAGAGGCAGGGGACTCTTGAAATAATCTGGATACAGAATCCTGGGAGCTACAAAGGAGTGTAGAGACGACAGGCTGTTTTAAAAAAGTGGTAAATACTGGGCACAGTGTGAGGTTGAAGGAGATGGGTTAGAGTACGTTTAAATGTGCAAGCCTTGGAGAAAGCGTGAGAAGGCGGCAGCTGTCAGGCACAAGTGGAAATTGGGTCAAGCTGAAGTGCTCTTGTGGAGGTAATGAGTTCCGAAAAACCAGCCCAAAAGACGAGAGGACCGTCACTTGAGAAGGAGCAGGAATATAAACCAAATTGAATGTGCAGATTTGGAGATGCATGTGTCAAAATGAATGCCACAACTTCAGGGGGGTTCGGGGGAGCGCACCGCAGAGAAAGAAGAACTGGGCAAGGGTAAATGTTCACAGGCGAAAGGTGAGGCAGCTTCACAGGTGAGAGAGAACTGGCAAAACCCTCATGAGGAGAACACAGCTGTGACCTTAACACGGAAGCCAGAAAGGACAGTATTCTGATGAGCGTCTCCTTGGCTACTAGTCATGGCTCCTCTGAGCTTAACCTGAAGTTGCCTAGAATCCTCAAGAGTTATCAAAGGCAGAAAAGATGTGTTCCTCCCATGAGTCCGGCTTTGAATCAGTGCCTTCAGAGAGAGAGAATAGGTTTCAAAATTCTGACCTTGAGAGTCAGGGTCAGAGATTGCCCTCTCCAACCGTGCTGGGATGTGGCAGGCAGTTCACATCTATCTCAAGAGGCAGCTAGGGCTTCCATCATTTCATTTCAGTTCCATGAGCAGAGTGGTGGAGCAAAAGGTCCAGCCTGGCCGAGGTCGAAAGGATTTCCCACTGTGATGTCATGACTCGGCACGCCTGTTCTGGAACCACACCTGGATCCTGGGCTCAGGGATGAGCGCAGACAGGCACTGGCACAGGTGGCTGTCGAGGAACAGAGTCCGGAGGAAGATGAACTCCAGCTACTCCAGGCTGAAGGACGCGTGCTCGTGGCTCTGTGATGCCAACGGGGCAGCCACGCCTTTGGGGGGGTGCAGATGGGCCCGGTACGCCTCAGTTTAAAAAGAAATAAAATCAAATTGAGTTCACTGTTATGAAAGAAATGTAAATAGAGGATGCTACGATAGAATACTGGTTAAAGTATCTGGGAAGGCTTTTCTGAGGAGCTGATATTTAAGGTAACAGTGAAAAATGAGAGGTTAGTCAGGTAAAGGGGAGAAGGAAGAGCACTTCAGGCAGAGGGACCATTCTGGGCAAAGACCCCGAGGGAGGAAAGATCAAGGTGCATTTAAGGACCTGAAAAGGTCAGTATGTCTGAACTACAGAGCAGGTGGGCATTAGAGAATAAGGTGACGTTGGAGAAGTAGACCACGACTGGGTCACACAAGGCCTTGTCAATGATTTTAGGTTTATAGTAAGCAATCAAGCAACACTGATAGGGTTTAAGTAGAATCTGATTTGCAAAAAATACCCCTCTGTGAAGAACGCCTGATCAGGATTAAGAGTAGAAGCTGGAGAAGTCTTGAACTGAAATGGAAATGGAAAGAAGTGATCAGATTCAAGACACATTTTAGAGACAGAATCAATAAGATTAAGTGACAGAGTAGAAATGGGTCAGGGAGAGAGAGATATTAGAATTTAGAGGTTTATGGCGTAGGCAAGTGAAAAAGCATTGCTTACTGAAGTGTGAAAGATGGGAGGAGAATCCGATTATAGAGGCAGTAGCAGTTTTTTGATCGAGAGCACTCCCAGATTAGAAGCTTGAGCCGACATGAGGTTTTTAAAGCGTTTATTTTTGAGAGGGAGAGTGCAAGCGTGGGAGGGGGAGAAACAGATGAGGAGAGGATCCGAAGTGGGCCCTGCACCGACAGCAGAGAGCCCGATGCAGGGCTCGAACTCATGAACTGTGAGGTCATGACCTGAGCCGAAGTTGGACACTTAACCGATTGAGCCACCCAGGTGCCCCTGGGACGAC